GCTGGGCTTTGGAAATCCTTCTGCCTCAGCCTTCCAAGTTTCCATAACCACCCGCGTGTGCTACCACGCCCAGCTAGTTTTTTATTTATTGTAGAGATGAGGTCTCGCCAAGTTGCCCGGGCTGGTCTCAAACCCATGGGCTCAGGCAATGCACTCGCTTCAGCCTCCCAAAGTGCTGGGATGACAGGCTGAGACACCAAGCCTGGCCTTTTTTCTTTTTTTTCTTTTCTTTTTGAGTCAGAGTCTCATTCTGTCACCCAGGCTGGAGTGCTATGGCCCTCTCATGGCCACCCTAGCATCGACCTGCTGGGCTCAGGCGATCCTTCCACGTTAGCCTTCCAAGTAGCCGGAACTACAGTCATGTGCTACCAAACCCAGCTAATTTATTTTTTATTTTTTATTGTAGAGATGAGGACTCATCAAGTTGCCCAGGCTGGTCTTGAATTCCTGGGCTCAGGCAGTTCTCTCACCTTGGCCTCCCAAAGTGCTGGGATCACCACTTGAACCACCGCACCTGGCCAGAACTTCCTTTTTATTGCTCAATATTCTGTTGTATGGATATACCATATTTAGTGTATTCATTCATCTGTTGATGGACACATGGGTTATTTCCACCCTTTGGCTATTGTGAATAATGCTTCTATGAACAGTAGCATCTGCTGGAGTCTCTGTTTTCAGTGGTTTTAATATAACTAGGAGTAGAATTGCTGGGTCCTATGGTAATTCTATGTTTAACTTTTTTAGGAACTGCTTTTTTATTTAAAAAAACTTACTAAATAGTGGAATCTTTCTAAATTCATAAAAATAGATCTATATCAATTTCCATTGTGTGAATAAGGCATGCCATAATTGTTGGATATCCTTGTACAAATGTCTTTGTATACTTTTGTGATTATTTCTTTATGATAAATTTTCAGAAATGGTATTGCTGGGTCTAAGAGCTTCTTCACTTATAATTTTTGACACATATCACTAGATTGCCTTTCACAAAGGTTGTATTATAATTCCACCAACTATGTATAAGAGTTCCTGTCTCCTCTGACTTTTTAAATACTTTGTTTTACCAGCTTCAGTTTGCATTTTGATTTCATTAAACATATTTTTGCTTATCAGCGATATTTCTTTTGTTGTAGTTTATATTTTTCCATTTGCAATTAAACATGCTTGGGTCCTTCCCATTTAAAAGAGTAAACAAACAACAAAAAGCCTTTATTTGATCCCACATTCATTTCTAAATACCCCGCGTGTCTTCTCTGTAGAGCCAAGCTTCTTGTAAGAGTGGTCTCAACTCTTACTTTTTTGCTTTTGCTCTTCCTGTTCATTCTTCACCATGGGCAATCTGGCTTTGTCCTCTACTCCATCCTAGACACTGTTCGCTTCTTTGAAGTTTTGATACTGTCTCCTTCTTGAATACTCTTTTCCCTTTCCCTGGTTATATTACACTCATTTGACATTCCCCCCACCTCTCAGGCCGCTTTTTTGGTGGCAATAATTGCAATAGCCACTATTCCCATTAATTGAACAATCATGTGCTATATGCTTTGTATTCATCATTTAATCATCACATTTTTTTGCTCACAGAGTTTAATATTGTTGTAGGCAGCCTCTAAGATGGTCCTAGTACACCTCCTGTTTTTCATGCTTTTTTGCAATTCCTCCACTTGAGTGTGAGCTGCATTTAGTGAATAGAATAAAACTTTTAATGAATAGAATAAAACTGAAGTGATATGATGTCACTTCTGAGATTAGGTTATAAGAAGACTGGTTTCTGTTTGGGAGCATGTGTGTTCATGCCACTCCCCCACCCCACCTCACCCCACTGCTATTCTGTGAAGAGAAGCCCTGGAGAATAAAAGTGCATATGCAAGAGAACTTAGGCACACCAGTCAAGAGGGGCACCACTTAGCAGTGCGTGAGTGAGACTCCTCAGAAGCAGATCCCCAGCCCTGGTTAAGGCCTCAACTGATAGCATCCTAGATCTTAGCTGGACCGGAACCTCCAGAGACCTGAGTCAGAATTATCAAGCTGACCCATTCCTGGGTTCCTGACCTGCTGAAGTTATAGGGAAACAAAAATCTGTTTTAAATCATTATTAGGGTAATTTGTTATATAGCAAGAGATAACTGCTACAGACTACAAGTTTCCTTCTAGGATTTCCACAGCTAATAAATAACGAAACCAGGATTTGAACCCATATGTAATGCAGTACCAAAGCTTCTGGTAACTACCATGCTATCTTTCTCAGTCTCCTTTGTAATATCTCCCTTGGAGATTTTCATCAGCATTTTTATCTGTTATCCTCTCAAAACACACTGTCTGTAAGCAATCTCATCAACTTGTATATCTTTTTCTTATTATTTTTCCCCTAGAGACGGGGTTTTTCTAAGTTCATAAAAATAGATCTGTATCATTTCCATTGTGCAGTGGCACAATCATAGCTCGCTGCAGTTTTGAACACCTGGGCTCAAGTGATTCTCCCACCTCAGCCTCCTGAGTAGCTGGGACTATAGGTGTACACCCTCGAGCCCAGCTAACTTTTTAAACTTTTTATAGAGATAAGGTCTTGTTGTGTTGCCCAGGCTGGTCTTGAACTCCTGGCCTCAAGTGATCCTCTTGCCTCAGCCTCCCAAAGTGCTGGAATTATAGGAAAAAGCCACCTCACACAGTCCAGTTTATCTCTGCCAATGATTTTCAAATCTACATTTCCAGGCCAGTTTTCTCTTTTAAGCTCTCATACATCTAAATGTTCATTAGACATCATCATGTTAATGCATTACTAATTCTTCAAACTCAGGAGATTCTCACTGAACTCAGATTATTTTCCTCCAAACCTGTGACTCATGTTTTCTAGCTCAGTGACTGATGTCCACCAGTCATTGCTTCCTACCTTGAATTCTGGGAGTCAGTTGTGACTTGCCCTCTCTTAGCCTCCACATCCAATCTTTGACCAAGCCTGTTGCTGTTAGCTCATAAATAATTCACAAATCTGTTCACAGCTCTTGTCTTGACCTCATCAGGATAGCCACGGCTCTCTCCTGATGCATCTTCTGCCTCCTGTGTTACCCTCCTTCAATTCAGTGTTTCTCAGACCTCGAGGTGCAACCTTCAGTGGTTCATAGAAATTAGTTGGGGTTTGTGACCAGCATATGTGTAAAGATGGAACAAAATAAAGTGGTATGGAAAATACCAGAGTGTATTACAGAAAGTACTGTTTGCTGTATTGAGTTTTTCTTATTGCTGGTTTCAGTCAATGAAGTTTGGAAAACATCATTTCATTCTTTCTACTGTAGCCAGGATGGCCTTTCCAGTCAGATCATGTTATTCATTCCTTGTTTAAAACTCTTAATGACTTTCCAGTGTCTTCCTGGTAGAGCTGAAATTCCTTAACATGCTATATTAGGTCCTTGGTGAGAGAGGCCCAGTTCCCTCAAGCCTCATTTCTCTCCATTCCTCTCCCTGTGTCTAAGCTGTAGCTGAGCGAAATCACTCATTGTTCCATGAACAGACTCTAATCTTGCTGCTCTCAAGCATTTGTATATGCCAGTGATTGTTCTTCCTGAAGTGCCTCCTTGTCCCAATCTGTGGCCCCATATCTTACTTCAGGAATGTTTAGCTAGCATCTTGTCCAAGATACCTTCCTTGCCTCCCTCAAGCAGGGACAGGACTGTTCCTATATGTGCTCATAGGAAGCTGTATTTATCCCAGTCAGAGCACTGGCCACATTTTATTAAAGTTGCCTGTTAGTTTTCTATCTTTGTACCAGATTTTAAGCTTTTAGGGGGCAGGGATTGTATTTTGTTCATCATTGTATCCCAAAGCCAAGTAGAAGGAAAAAAAGCATGTTGGATTGATTTGCTGTTTTAAGATACATAAAAATGTTATTTCATTGGGCATGGTGGTATGCACCTGTAGTCCCAGTACTTGGGAGGCTGAGGCAGGAGGATTGCTTGAGCCCAGGAGTTCAAGGCTGTGTTGTGCTATGATTGTGTATATGAACAGTCAGTGCATTCCAGGCTAGGACACAGAGCTAGATTCCATCTCTTAAAAAAATACTGCTTAGTATTTTTTAAAAATACTACACTAATCCTGGCACTTTGGGAGGCTGAGGTAAGAGGATTGCCTGAGCCCGGGGGTTCAAGACCAGTCTGGATAACTTGGTGAGACCTCATCTCTACAATAAATCAAAAAATAAGCCAGGCATTGTAGTGCACGCCTGTAGTTCCAGCTACTTGGAAGGCTAAGGTGGAAGGATTGCCTAAGCCCAGCAGGTCGAGGCTGCGGTAGCCATGAGCGTGCCACCGCAGTCCAGCCTGGGCAACAGAGTAAGACTCCAACTCAAAAAAATATAAAAAATACTGCTTAAAAGTTTGCCTGCCCAGGTCTACCTTGTTTTTAATAAAAGGGTGGTTCTTCTGTTACATATGTTTGTGGTTTTATATAATAACATAGTATGGATGTTTTAAAATGTATAAAGATCTCCATTTTGTTTCAATGTGATTATATAAAAAGAATGTAAAGTGATCTTGTCATGAAGAGTAGTATATTAAACTTAGTAAAAAAAATCATTTGGCTTTCAAATAGAATTGAAAAACAGATTCTGCTGGGCGCGGTGGTTCAAGCCTGTAATCCCAGCACTTTGGGAGGCCAAGGCGAGAGGATTGCCTGAGCCTGTGAGCTCGAAACCACCCTGGGCAACATGGTGAGACCTCGTCTCTACAATAAATCAAAAAATTAGCTGGGTATGGTTGCTCACGCTTGCAGTTCCAGCTACTTGGAAGGCTGAGGCGAAAGGATCGCTGGAGCCTAGCAGATTGACAGTGGGGCGGCCGTGAGCATGCCACTGCACTGTAGCCTGGTCGATGGAGTGAGACTCCAACTCAAAAAAAAACAACGAAAATAAAAAACCAGATTCTACTTTTATCAGCAAAGTTTGCTCAAATGTTTTATACTTTTTAACCATTCGTTTTTACATTAAATGAAACTTTTCCATGTTATACTAGAATGTTCCAGAAATAAATAATGAAAACAGTGAAATGTCAACTGAAAAATCAGAAAATACCATTATAGAGAAGTATATTGAGCAAGAAACAAGGGAAGAAAATATGGAGAGTTTTTGTTCAGAAACTGAATACAGAGAAAAAGAGGAAAAGAAAGAAGACTTATCTATAGATGAAATCATTATAGAAGGTAACCTTAAAATTACATTGATCTTTTCCAATTTGGATATTGAATTTTTTCCCCCAAAATAAAGAATCTGCCTAAGTGCTATAAAACTAGGTAACTATCAATGACAGTCTTTGCTTTGAGGATTTTGTAGTGTAGTTGGAGAAACACATACCTTTTCATTTGTATATGTCAACAAAATAATCATCCCTCAAGCTATTCTTTTATTGTCAACATTTACAATCAATATTTTTGGGAAAACAACATTTCTTCCTCTCCTTCACTGCTTTGCTGAGAATGTTCTTTGAGTCACCAATAACCTTCTGCTAACCAGTCCTAGAGCACTTATCTTAGTTCAGATGATCCACCTGTAACCATTAAAATAATTTACTAATTCTTCCATCTTGAAAAAGAGTTGTTTAAAGATGATACTGAAGGTGTTCAAACCTAGGCTGAACAACCACTTGGTGGAGATGTTGTAGAGAGAATGACTAGAATAAAATGTCCTTCAAAGACCTGCAATTTGTATTCTAGATTACTTTATACTAAAAATTTGAAATCTATGGTTAGAACATAGATGAATAAAATTAATATCTTAAGTAGGTTCCTATGCATTTGCCCAAAAGTATTTTAGGATTTTAAAATATTCACAGGATAATGAATAAAAAAGTAATGATTGTCAGTCTTGAAGAAGCCAGCCAGCAATTTCTGGATATTGCTGAACTTGGGTAGTGGAAATTAGAGTGTAACCTGTTAGGATAAATTAATTTTTATTAGCTATGTGTTTATATGGAATTGTACTGTCTGCCCTAAAGGAAGCAAATAGAGAAATAAACCACTTTCTTCTCCTTTTTAAATAAAAAGTGAAATGAAAATTTAGTATGAGTAGTATGTTAAATATATGCTTGTTATAATAAAGGGAACCCAATAGTAAAGATAAAATCGATGTCATTAAGTTTGTATAATTATTGACCAATACAATACTTAAGGCTAAATGTTGTTGTAAAAATAGGTGATACATGTTTCATGAAATCGGGTTTTAGTGTATGATATAAAATTTTACTGTTTCCATCATGACAGATTTACAACTTTCTGAAAAAAGCTTCAAGAGTGAAGATACTACTGTATCTCAGAATGAAAATCAAAGTGAAATCTCCCTAAGCAAAACCCTCTGCTTAGATAAAGAAGTAATTAGTCAAGGACAAACCTTGAATGTTACTGACAACAGAAAATCAGTTACTACAGAAATAAAAGATAAGGTGTACCTGGAAAAAGACAATGGATGTGCAGAATTTAAATCACCAGAGAATTCTTTTTTAGTGTTAGGTGTAACAACAGAAACAGAAAAGATACACCTGGAAAGGATGGCAGGGGTAGGTCTTCACCATGCCGATGTTCATCTGGTGGGTGAAAATAACATCATTTCAAACGAGACAGCTCACAGTGCAAACCATAATTCACATGTTTCTGAAAATGAACCATTCAAGCAATTCCGATCACTTCTGGGGACCGAGGGGCATGCCACAGAGGAGATTCCAGACAGCACCCAAACCAAAGCAGAGCTGGATTCATGTCTAGATGCTCCACATCAGCAACAAGGTTTACAGAATTCAGGCCATGTAATGTTAGAGGAGTCACAACGTAAAATCAAACAAATACAACTGTTAAATAAGAAAAGCGAATGCAGCATATCATCTTTTAAACAAGTCTCAGACTCTAAGCAAGTCTGCAATGATACTTTAGAGAAACCTGAGCTGACTGTTCCCTGTGATAATACAGTAACTGATTTACCCATTTCATCTGTTGCTCTCAGTGACCATTTGAAAGTACTTCTCAAAAATTCAGATAAGTATGTTAACAGCATGCCTCTGTTGGTGAAACCTAACTCAGGCCCTGGGGAAAGAACTACATGGAAAGACACGAATGATATGCAAAGCAGTCAACTTGAGAACTGTCTGGGATATTTAGAAAACAACAATGTGACTATTTCCCATCTTCAGGTTAACAATGAGAGTAGTCATGTTTTGCAAGCCAGAGATGTGAAAACTGCTGTTTACATGAAAACTTCTACAGAATTACAGTTTTCCAGTAAAGAGAACCAGATTAATGGGAATCAGACAACTGAAGCCACAAAAAACGACCTCTTCCTTTTTGTGAACATCAATGAAAGACAGCATACATCATTAAATACAGAGAAAACAGAGTCATTAAATGACACTGTTTCAGGAAAAATGTACAGTGGAGGACAGATGGAGGGATCACAATTATTTCACATAAAGCCATCTGGAGATTTAGTAAACAGAAGTGGAAGGTCAGCCTTTGATCTTTCAACTTCAGATAAAAAAACTGAGAAAACTCCAGTATACATGAATTTTTCAGACTCTGGCCCTTGCTCAAGAGTAAATCAAATTGAAAGTCAAACAGGGAGCGCTTCAACTCCAAGCATTTCTTTGTTGCTCAAAGAAAGACCCATAGGTCCAGCAGAAAACAAAAGGATTTCAGTGGCTCCTTGTAAAAATGTTGGTGTGGAAAATGTCAAAAAGGATATTGGACCAGGTAAGAAAGCAAGGTTGCTTTAACTAATTCTTAAAGTGTGTTTTTCTCTTACTGTCCTTGATAGAAAGTCTCCAGATTGTTTAAAACAAAAATATTTAGACTCATGGTTTTTATCTAATACTGAAGTACTGCATGCACATGTACCACACAAAAAGTTAGAGGCTCCATTTAAACGGAAATGGGTTTCTTTTAATCTGAATTTGAGCCACTGTTATTAATGTGCATAATGGTATTTTGTATATTTTTAAAAAGATTTGCTGTCCTCATCAAGGAAAAGTAGAAACGACAGATGCGGGTCATTAATTTTAAATTAGGAGCAACAACCTAATCTGATTCTTCTTTGTTTACTTTCTAGAGCAAATGCAGTGAAGTAGTCGATAACTTTGGACAAGTGTGCATTTATTCCTTTTCTATCTATACTCTCAGCATCCTTAAAATCTTCTTTCCTCAGAACCATTGTTTAGTTTATCTCCCATTGTTGCCTCTTTCTTCCCTTTCCTTAATTTTTTGTTTTTATCTATCCCTTCACCATCACCACAAACCCAGCTGTTTCTTGTTTTTATAATAGTGAAGCATAACATTAATATGTTTTCCATGATCAGTATTTGTCACTCTTTGACTTTTAAAAACTGAATCCCTTCTTACGTATTGAGGCAAGGCATGGTGGTTCACACCTAGAATCCCAGCAATTCAGGAAACTGAGGCAGAAGGATCACTTGAGGCCAGAAGTTTGTCTCTATTCCAAAATTATGTGCTTATATTGATACGTTCAAAGAGAGAATAGAGGGGCTGTTCTGTTCTTTAAAAACTGCCATATGAAACGATACAATGTCCAAGTTTTGCTTTAAAATACTCTGAGAAAAGGAGAGGTAAATGGATGAATGACATGTGTCTCAGTACTGGTGAGTGGTGAGGGTGGGTGATGGGCACATTGAGATTCATGCTCTCCACCTTTGGGTTTGAAATTATTCATAAAATATTTTAAAACAAGAACATTCTAACTGTCATGAATCGGTGCTATATGAATGTAAGTTGAAGGTAAAAGCAATAGTTTAAGAAGTATGAGGAAAATTGTTTCCTTTGCTAATAGTAATCTCACATTCAAAGTTGTTGAGGTTGTTAAAGATATTCTTCGATTTTAAGGGAACTTTGCGGGTTTAACAATGAGCCTTTAGAGCCATTGAAGAAATGCAGATTACAAGGAAAGCTCTGGATGGTTTTCAGATTAAACAGGCTGCTTTTAAAAATGAAACTGAGAAAACATTAAAGTGAATAGTAATTAAAAACAAAATAAGCATATCCTATTTCTGAGCACCAGTGGGAATGTAAGGAAAAATCAAATAACCAAAACACTGTATACCCTCATCTCCCAAACTAATTTTTTTTTTAGTTGGAGTCTCACTCCGTTGCCAAGGCTGGAGTGCAGTGGCACACTCAGACACCCCAGTGTTGGCCTGCTAGGCTCAGGTGTTCCTTCCGCCTTAGCCTTCCAAATAGCCAGAACTACAGGCACATGCTACCACACCTGGCTAATTTTTTGACTTATTGTAGAGACGAGGTCTTGCCATGTTGCCCGGGCTGGTCTTAAACCCGTGGGCTCAGGCAATCCATTCACCTCGGCCTCCCAAAGTGCTGGGATTACCAGCTGAGCCACTGAGCCCAGCCTGTAATTTTTAAATATAAGATGTATTAGTTAAGATTTCATTAATTTTGAGTTAGTCAAGTGTTGTTTGATCATTTTCTCAGAACTTTTAAGTCAGACTTCAATGATAAAAATAAGGGGATATATCTAAAATCCTATATAAATTCAACCTTATTAGCCGGGCTCGGTGGCTCAGCCTGTAATCCCAGTGCTTTGGGAGGCTGAGGTGAATGAATTGTCTGTGCCCGCGGGTTCGAGACCCGCCTGGGCAACTTGGTGAGATCTCATCTCTACAATAAATAATAAATTAGCCGGGCGTGGTAGCACGCGCCTGTAGTTCCACCTATTTGGAAGGCTGAGATGGAAGGATCGCCGGAGCCCAGCAGGTCAAGGCTGCAGTGGCCAGGAGCGGTCACTGCACTCCAGTCTGGGTGACAGAGTGAGACTCCAACTTAAAAAAAAAAAAAAAACACGCTTATTTTTTTTAACTTTTATGGTTGACCTGTTTCCCTAGCTCATTTCTATTTATTAAAGCCCAATGACCCCTTATAAACAACTCTTTGTTTGGCTTCTTACCATGGTCAGTTTCTTTGAATGTAGTTTATAAATCTAGCATGTAGTTGATTCAGACTTTTTCCATTAAATTGGTAAAATGTTCACTATATGGTTACATGTGTGGTAATTCAGTAAACAGGTGACTAAGGATAACATTTTATGAGTTATTTTGTTTTAGAAAATATACCATTTCATTCCTTCTAATGAAGGTTATAATCAGGTTTTAGAAAGTAGCAATAATAAAATCTTGTTTTCTGAAATGAAATACCTAGTATAAGGGCAAAATCTAGGAAAACTATAAAATACTCAAAGTAAAAAGAAAATAGAAATTGTTGCTTTTTTAAATACAAAAGCATAGATCAGAGAGAAACAAGTTCTGTCACTAAAATGAGTGCCTAGAGAGTAAAACTCAGTTGCTGCCATTTCCTCCTTGTCAATCAGATACTACCAGCATGAACAGAGTTGCTGACACTTTGAATAACTGGAGTATCCATCCACATCCCGAGGGGGATCCCAGGGAAGAAAGGAATGCAATTGCAAGAACTTTTTATGATTCTTCTTTTCCCACAGAACATGTAAGTCAATTAAAAATACTGCCAAGCAGACCTTAGTGAGCTAATTCTACAGATATGTGTAGAACTGTACGCATCTGGATGCTTTAAGAACTAACTGATCTCCAAAATAATATCAAGAGGGCAACATGGCACCATTTTTCACAATTAAGGTTGATAGGAAACAGCAGGAAAAAGTCACAGTGTATAAATCAAAGAGAGAGAATCCAGCCTGTCTTGGGACGGAGAGTGTGAAGCCCTGGGTTATGGACTTCTATTTCTTATTCACCTCAACTTGGAAGCGGTGGCTTTTTATTAATAAAAGATGATGTCCGAAAATAAGCTATCCAATCCAGTTTTTAATGCTTAGGTTAATATTAAGAAACTGGTAATTGGGATGGGAAACATTGAACATTATTTCAGTTCAGTGCACAGCGTGTGAAAGGATCAGGTATCCACGTGTACAATGGTAAGGATGTATGCACAAGCAAAGCATGTTGTGTGTGTGCCTCCTGGGAGTCTGTCCTGAGAAAAGCAACTAACTTGCAGCAGGAAGCCTATTTGGCCAAACTTACAAATTTCATGTCTTAGTCTGTAGAACCTTAGCAGGAAAAAGGCTGTACTGTTCAGTCTGAAAAACAGCTGTAGGTGTCTTTGCTAAAAGGTGACCTAAAAACATTAGGAAAGATAACTCACAGAACAAGAACTGCATAGTGATAACTCTAAAGTCGTTGCAGACTTTTGAGTTGGAGTCTCACTCTTGTCGCCCAGGCTGGAGTGCAGTGGCACGCTCCCAGCCACTGCAGCCTTGACCTGCTGGGCTCAGGTGATCCTTTTGCCTCAGCCTTCCAAATAGCTGGAACTGCAGACACACACCACCACGCCTGGCTAGTTTTTGATTTATTGTTGAGACGAGGTCTCACCAAGTTGCCCAGGCTGGTCTCGAACCCTTAGGCTCAGACAATCCTCTCACCTAGCTGCCCAAAATGCTGGGCTGGCCACTGTGCCCGACCTAGTAGTTGTAGATTTTAAATTTTAGAGATGCACATTAAACTACTCTTTAGCACATATAAAATGAAAATTATAGTTCTAACACATCCTTAAATAAGTCTTTAACAATGTATTTTATTTCCCTTTTTAAATAGGAGAAACTGGCCAGTGGTGGCTCACGTCTATAATCCCAGCACTTGGGGAGGCTGAGGCAGGAGGATCACCTGAGTCCAGGAGGTCAAGGTGCAGTGAGCCGTGATCATGCCACTGTACTCCAGCCTGGGTGACAGAGACCCCAACTCAAATAAACATATAAATAGGAGAAACCTCAAGTGGGACAGTGTCACACTACCTCTGGGAGAGTTAAAACACAAATCAGAAACTACACTTTTCACATCTTCATTAACTGCGAGCTCATCAATAGTATGTTTCAGTTCGGAGTGTACAAGTGTGTAGCTCTAAGGTATGGTAACAAAAATAGCAGTAACTTTGGCATTGGGAAATCTAAGTTCTAACCTTGGCCACAGAAGTCATAGAATCAAAACAAAGAGGAAGTGAGAGATCAGGTAGACAGCCTTTCTAATTAGGTTGAATGCATAACATTTAGCAGACAGTTTTTCTTTTAAACATTTTAAGGCTATGAAACTTCATGTCTCCTTTGTAAAGCTCATTTTAAAAATTAACCTAATAGAGAAGTTCTTTGTGTCTAATTCCTAATGCTCTTCTTGCAAGTAATGTTGCTTTTAAGAGTTTACACTTAGGGAATTTGTAACTTTTTCAAAGAATCTTCCTTTAACATCCTGTAAGAGGAAATCGTGATATAAATGTGAAATAACTTTCCAAGGTCATTAAGACAATCTGCAACAGACCTAGACTAGATGTCTTGGCTCTTAGTCAAATGTTGTATTACATATTCTCCACTTTCATAGTAGAAAAGTTTCTTCTCAAAATATTGGGGCATAAAAAGCAAACTCAAGTTTGTTGGCTGAATAGACGTCCCCAAGTGCTTATGACTGTGTACCAGGCTACATAAACATCACTATCCCAGCTTTAGCCCGATTACCAATTATCATGTAATATGGGACCAATTCAACGGTAGTAAGTACAGTTTTAACAGAGCACAGCCACACCCCATTCCTTGACACATTGCAAAGGCTGCTTTTGCACTGCACAGATGTAAGTAGTTTGAGAGGCCCTTTGGTCCACAAAGCTGAAAGTATTTGCTCTGGCTCTTTTTTTTTTTTTTTTTTTCCCTGAGTGAAAAATCACCGTATTTATTTTCCTACAGTTTTTCTATAGCTTTAACATCTCCCCCCTCAAAACAAAAAACAAATCCCAAAGCTCAAAACTGGATCACTTGGCCCTTTCTTTTCTTATCTCCTCCCAGTTCAAAATGCTTGCATCTCTTAATGGCCAGCATCCTCTTGGATCTGCAGTTAGGCTCAACACATTCCAGCCTTAGTACAATCTTCTTTGTAGTCTTGGCTTTCTTCCGGAAAATTGGCTTTGTCTGCCCTCCATAGCCACTCTGCTTCCGATCATAGCGCCTCTTTCCCTGGGCATACAGAGAATCCTTGCCCTTCTTATACTGCGTCACTTTGTGAGGTTGGTGCTTGCCACACTTCTTACAGAAAGTTCTTTGGGTTTTAGGTACATTGACTATCTCTGCAGTAGAGCTGTGTATACGATGAACACAGAAAATTCGGCCTTGCCACGCTCGCTCTGCACAGGAAGCGGAGGAAAACTGCTCTGGCTCTTTACAGAAAAAGCTTGACAATCTTTGTTCTATATGAAGACAGGTGCATTTTTTGAAAACTTACACAGCCAGAGAAGGAATAGAAGTTCCTTTTATTTTTCAACATATTTTATGTACATGCCACACCAACTCTGTTAAACTCAGGTTTCAAAGCAGCTCAAAAAGATAGGGTACGGTTTTTATTCTTGCTGTTGGAGTTAGACTGGTACCTGCTGCCATCTTGATTATATCCAGGAATGAAGATACTTATTTTTTGTATCCAAGAATTAGGTTAAGTTAAATTTTAAAACACAATCCCAGGCAGAAACGAAAGGACTAGAACCCAAGCTAGGGGAAATGTTTAGGCCAAAAAGTCTCTTTTTTTTTTTTTGAGTTAGAGTCTCACTCTGTCGCCCAGACTGGAGTGCAGTGGCCGCTCCCGGCCACGGCAGCCTCGACCTGA